TTCCCCAGGCAGGTCCCTTGCGCTGTCACAGAGCATGGTCTCTTGTTTTCCATTCAGGCTAGGAAAGATTTTCTGAGCCACAGTTCAATTCAGGGGTGAGCCAAGGACAGGGAGTTCTCATCACTGTCCCTCCTTGTCAGCTCACAGATCCTTCCCATGTGCAGGGAAGCTCTAGCTGGTGCCAAAGCCCAGCAGAGAGCCTGAAGGGTGTACACAGTTGCACCAGGATGCATGGGGTATTTTGAAGGCCCCTGAGGATGGATGCCAGGCACAGACTCAGAAACCACCTCAGTGGTGTTTACTGCTTTGCTGTCCCTGCATGCAGTGACCTCCGCTGCAACTGCTGCTACCCTCACTCTGCCCCAGGACCTGCTCCTTGCTGCACTTGGGGCTGGAAAGGGTAGATTAAAGGGGAGGTAGGGCAGAGTATGGGCAGGGGCCAAAATGTGCCCAGAGAAGGGTCAGAAATGTGGGGACAAAGGAAAAAACGGGGCAGCCAGGCAACATCAGGGATATTCAAGAGAAGCTGGGGTAAAATCTGCACTGCCAGTGGCAGAAGGGTAACACCAGGATAGGGAGAGGCAAAGGGGTTAAAAGTCCCCTGACTGGTCTGCAGGTATGTCTGGACTAGAGTGGAAGTGGCCAAGGGGCTGGTGCTTCTCCTTGGTTGGTCCTCCCCAGCTCTGCAGGGTTAAAAGGCCCATCACCCAGTTACAACAGCTCCTCTCTGTCTGGACTGAGACACTGAGCTGCCAGAGGGGGTGATTTTACACCACTGCTAGTCTGCAATTGCTGTTTGTGATATTTTTAAAAAGCCCCTCTAAGTTTATGTAGGTATAAGATGTCTGCACAGAGACTCCCAGCAGCTCACAAAATTCTCTTCTCTGCTGTTCTGACTGTATAACGAGTACTTCAGTTCCTGTACCTCACTGCAACCAGCCTCATTCCTTTTATTTAATTTTTCTTAGAAATCAGACTGTCCTTGGTTCATCCTGGCTAGTGTGGAGACAGATACCTTAGTGCTACTTAACATGGCTCTAGTATTCTTCCTGTGACTGTGATAATGCACCATGATTATTTCTTATAGTGCAAATAACATATTCTGTGCTATCATGGGACTTCATTGTTTGTCTGCTTTCTTAGGTTTCCTTCAAAACTTCCTCCATGTCCTTTGAACCACCCATAAGGATCTCCATTGTCCAACCATTACTTTGATTCTCTTTCATGCTGGGTTAGGTCTGGTCTTTAGTAAAAAGTGCTAACAGTTACACTGGACTGCAAATGGCTCTTTTTCAGCTCGTCTCACTCCGTTGCAATATGACAAAAAAATAAGATGGCTGTTCTGGAGTAAGGGAGTCTACACTGGGGGTTGCTGGGGTATAAATCTGGCCATGGGCACAAATCAGGTTAACACAAGGTAATAAGTTGCTCATTTGCAGGCCCTTCCTTAGGGTAAGTGAGAGATGATTCTCCCTTCAGTCAAAGGGAGGTAAACTGTTTTACTTTTATCATGAAATAAGAGCATGCGCATGCAGTTATGTGAAGTACCAGTTGTATAGTAAGCCCGCCTTATACCTTGCTGCATGATAACTTGTGGCTATATCTGCAGCCAGCATGGGATATTAATATAATTTCCTGCAAACAAACTCCAAAGACTCATGCAGCCTCAAGCTATAACCCATAGGTGTTAAATGCACCATTACTCTTAAAGGGCCATTAAGACTGAGACTTAGTCTGTGTGGCTTCAAAGCTCTTGACCATAAGAAGTATTAACATATGAATGTCTGCAGTCCTTTACCTGTCTTTTGTGGGGGTAGCAAGATCTGTGACACTGAAGTAATATCGTTTTTGGACCAACTTATGGTTGAAAGAAATGTTAGTCCTGATAATAGTAAATTTGTGCTCAAAAGATTGTCTAATGCCTCTCTCAACTAAAAAATGGTCCAGTAGATGTTACCATACCTAACAAATCTTGCTTCTCACATATTCCCTGGACCATCCTGGCTACAACAATACTACAGCACATTTCTGGGGAATATCATGGAACAGAAGCAAAAAGCATTTTAAAGCAAATGTCAGATGTTAAAGGGAGCCTTTACTGCTTAAAGAAGAGACTGGAGTGGATTTTTTTTAGCCTTTTATTGCCTTAATATCTATTACAGCAGTTCCCAATATTTCCAGGCATTCATTTCTGAGTTTGCTTCAGGTGACAGAAAACTGGATATGATGGTGTAAAAACTGGATATGATGGTGTGGGCAGTCTCTTCTGGTCCAAGGTTACTACTGAGCAAGTGCAAACCCTGAACCTTATTTTCTTCTCTAAGTCTCCGTGGATGGGAAGGAGGACATGGGAAGGATGGTGATCCCACTCCAGGGAGACAGAGCTAATGGTACTGTCTCTGTTCCCCCAGTGAGTTGTCAGGAGACAGAAGAACCCGGATGACCTGTGGCATGGAACTGGTTGCAGTGCATCTCTTCTGCCTGGGTCCTTATGCTAGGCACAGCTGGATGTAGGGTCACCAGCCAGCTTGGGGTCATCTCTTGCTGGTTCTTGGATGCATACATGAAGATACTTGTTGGAGCAAGCAAACTTTGGCCTGCCAGAGTGAAGGCTGCTAAACGATCACTTTTTCAGATGCATTCTCTGGTGTTTTGTTAGGCCTGTGCTGGAGATGAAGGCCTTCTCACACTCAGGGCATTGATAGGGTCTCTCTCCTGTGTGGAGTCTCCGATGGATGGTAAGGGTTGACTTGACCCGGAAGTTCCTTCCACAATCAGGACACTGATAAGGTTTCTCCCCAGTGTGGATCCTTATATGTTTAACAAGGGTTGCATTCTCCTTGAAGCCTCTCCCACAGTTGGGGCACTCATGGGGCTTGCAGACCCCATGAGTTCTCCTGTGCGTGACCAGGGCTGAGTGAGCACTGTAGCTTTCCCCGCATTCAGGGCACGGATAAGATGTCTGTTCTGCATGTTTCTGCCAATGCTGGTTCAGAGACGAACGTTCAAGGAAGACTTTCCCACACTCCAGGCACTGGTAGGGTAGCTGTCCCAGGTGAACCAACCGATGAATATCATAGGAGGAGCTGTCTGTGAAGCTTTTCCTGCAGTCGGGGCACTGGTGGCGGCTCTTTGCCTTATGAATTTTAAGATGCTTTTTTAAGGACTTTTTTGATATGAAGCATTTCCTGCAGTCGGGGCATACAAAGGGTCGCTCCCCAGAGTGGGTTCTCTGATGGACCACGAGGCTTGATTTGGAAGCGTAGCTTTTCTCACACTCAGGGCACTGATAGGGTTTCTCTCCCGTGTGGGTTCTCAGGTGTCTATTGAGGGAGGAGCCCCTGCTGAAGGTTTTCTCACACTCAGTGCACACATACTGCCCCTGTCCCAAGCACACCCTTGGCTGTGTCTCGACATTGAGGTTTTTGTGCTCTTTCCCATTAGTGTCAGAATGAGCCAGTCTCTTTGCTGGATGGCTTCTCTGCTGCCTCTCTGTCCTGTACTGATCTGCACATGCCAGAGAGTCATCCCCTTTGTCTCTTCCCCATAACATCCCATGTGGTTCCAGTTGCTCAGGACCTTTTTGCTGGGGACTCTCCTCCTCATTCTCACTTGCCATCCAATAACCTGCTGGGACTGAGAGAGCATCCAGAGGGGGACCATTCTCTGTGCTGGGGGAGAGGGAACCTGGGAGACAGTAATAGGGAAAGAGGGAAAATATAACTGCTGGGGAGATGGAAAAACAAGGGGATAATTTTCCAAACCCTGTGCCAGAGGACAGAGAGGCTGGGAGCCATTCTGTGTCCACATCCCGTCTGAAGACCCTAAGCAAGGAGTTAGTTGGGATCAGGGGGATGCCACAGGAGGCAACAACCATGAGAATGTATCACTGGCTGGGGACAATCCCATATTGTATTTGTGGGAATTCCAGTTTTTTTCCTTTTCTTGGCCAGGGTTGCAGAACAAATTCATCATAAGTGCTGTCCTTGGAGGTCTGGAATTCCAGCACCCAATGAGTAGGGTTTTGTGTTATAAGCCATGGGGGGAAGAGAAGAACCAGAACAGCACCAAGTCTAACATATTAGGGGCATCAGACATGAAGAAAGCACAGGTGGAGAGGCAGTGTGACTGAGGCAGTAGGAGAGGACTGTCCTTCCCACAATACAGAGGAACCCGAAGAAGTCCCCTGGCAGTGGGATGTCCTAGAAAGGGAAACCCTTTCTCCAAAGGAAGAGGTGGGAGCCCATGACTTGGTGCTGGGTAGATCACTAAGCAATGCAGCACTGAAAACAATCCAGCCTTAATTGAGGGACAAGATCAAACCCAGTAAGACTTCTCTTCCACTGACATTATGCCGTGAAACAAGTGAGGGAGGGACACTCTCTCTCTCACGTGGGCTCTAGGGCTCACTGCCACAGACCAAAGACACGAGGGAAAAGCCCTGACCAGAAGTCTCTGCAACTGCTTCAAAGAGCCCACAGCTTCTACTGCCCAAGGGGACAAGAATCCTTACCCAGTGAAACCACCATCTCATAAATCTCCTGAATGACATCCGTATAGAGGGATCTCTGATCGGGGTCCAGCAAATTCCACTGTTCTTCAGTGAAATGCACAGCTGCCTCCTTGAAGGTCACCAGCATCTGAATCAACAGGAGTCCCACACTTAGTACCGGCTGCCCAAACAGAATCCCACCCGCTCACAGATGGAAAACCTCTTGCTAGGCTGCAAGCAACAAGGAGTATTCCTGGGCATGTACTGCACAATTCAAGCTGTTATATTGCAAGTTCCCAGCACGTCTGCCTAAGAGGATAATTTTGAACAGAGCTCTGATTCTCCACCCCAAAAAAGGCCTCTACATCTGATTAGACTTTTTCCAAGAACTTTTCTTGGTGAACAAAATGCATTTCTACAAACGTCTAGCCCTCATTTCACAAGCTTAATGGTGCTCCCAGACAATCTGGCTGAAAGACTGATTTCCAGGAAGGCTCTGCTGCTTCTCCCCAACAAGCCTGAATTCCACTGAATTCCCATCTGCTCCAGCCCTTTTGCTGGTACCCTGCATGCTCCATGTTAGAGCAGTTGTTCTCAACCTTTTTAGACTTGAGGCATGCCTCAAAAACTTTTCTGAACTGAGCAGCGCCCCATTTTATATGCTTTCTTTATTACAGTGCTTATCTCCTTGGGAGAGGGTGGGCAGTGGAACTGAGAGAATGGCAGGGAAGAGCCTGAGCTTGCACTTATCTACTTATCTTTTCACACTGGGAGGCAATAGCATAAGGTAGGGTAGGCAAATAAGCAAATGCCCCCAGCACCACCTACGGGGAGGGCGCCATCACACAGGGGAGGAAGGGACGGCCGTCACCAGCGCCTCCAAACTTCCTTCATACATGCAGGGGAAGGAGTTCATGCAGAAATCAACATCTCGTGAAAATGATTATGGTTCCCAGGTATTCTGGGAGACCAGTATTATAGAGGTGAAGGTCCCAGTGTTGCTGGTCTGCTTCAGGCAGCTCCAGACCCTCCAAGGTTGTTCCTAAGCCATTTCTAGTGATCAAATCCAGGGGTGCTCTTCAAAGAAATATGGGTATTTGTAAAATTCATCAGAATCTCACTCCATTGACATTACCATCTGTGAAATGGGGCCTTTTCCTTGAGCTCAGTGGTGGAACCCACCCCACTCCTGTTCTAGGAGTTGGGGAAATGCTGGCACTTTCCCAATTCTGAGTTCTGGCAGGTTTGAGAAATCCTGTTCCATCTCCCATCCCATCCCCTTGGATTTTCTGCCCGTTCTCCCTCCAGCAGGTCCCTGAAAATACTCTACCTGCACCACCTGTTCTGCAGCCATGTCCATTCCCAGTGGCCTGGAGCAAAGCACAGAGGTTACTCTGCAGTCTGTCGGGATGAGAATGACAACTGAGGAGACTGTGAAAGATAAAATCCCATTACTTGCAGACAGATGTTCTAAACTAGGGATACCCAACCTGTGACATGGGTGCCACAAGTGGCACAGGAAGCCTCAGTATGTGGCATATGGCAGATAGGGTGGGAAGCAGAAAGCAAAGCAGGACATCAGGCAGGGAGCATGGGGCAGGGAGAAGAAAGCTGAGCAGCAGATCAGATAAAGGGAAGGGATCAGAGTGGCACTCAGGGATGGTGCGGGGCTAATTTGTGACATGGCTGCCCAAAAGGTTGGCCCCTGCTGTGCCAGCCTCTGCTACAATGGGATGTTTTACTGCAGGAGAGACCCTACACCACCCACCAAGTCAAACCTTGCACCTCAAATCAAAGAGACTCTAAATTAAGTCCCAGGAGCTGCCATGGGAGATTCCTTTGACATGCTCCCCTTGGCAAACCCTCTGGCAGCAGCAGGACTCACTTCTCCTCCCTCTTTCCTCACCTTGTGCAAAGGACAGTAACTGGGGCAGGGCTGGGGCAGGGATGGCACTTCCCTTCATTTATTTCTTCTCATGGCTCTCTCCCGTTCAGATTATACAGCCAGCTGGAAATGCTGGCGATATGCACATATATTTGCTTCTGTTTAAAAGTATAAAGCCTCAAGAAGAGTGTGAATCCTGCACTATAAGAGACATCTTCCAGAATTTAGATCCTCCAGTTGTTCTCATTCCCAGTTTATCAGGGAGCAATTTTTGGCAGGAGTCTCACTGTTAGATAGCTTCTGTCCTTTCAAGCAGAGGAACACTTGCCTTGGGTAACACTGGACAGTCTCACAATTCAAGACCATCTGTCCCGTCAAATTTCTGTCTTATTTAGGTGCTCAATTCTGCATTTTAAACCTTTATTTTTAAAAATTAACTGGGAATTGG